CTCAGGCCCCATGACTGACACAAACAAAAACAAAATAAAATATTATTTTCTCTCGTTTTTTAGTCAATTGAGCATGATCCCCCAGTGCCCAGCTTGTTTTTATCTTTTAAGTGCCTAAATCTTACTGTATTTTCTGCACTGGCCTCAAACTCTTGGTCTCAAGTCCCCTCCTGATTAGCTGGGACTTAAGGTACTTGCCATACACCGTACCTGGCTTGCATGAATACATTGAATCAGAAGGTTTAATTACAAATAAGTAATAATAAATTTGGGGATTTTTACTAATTGAAGTAATTAAATATTAAACAATATGTTTTACAATGGACTTTTCTTTTTTTTTTTTTTTTGGGGCCGGTTGTGGGGCCTGAACTCTGGGCCTGGGTGCTGTCCCTCAGCTCTTCAGCTCAAGGCTAGTGCTCTACCACTTGAGCCACAGCGCCACTTCTGGCTTTTTTCTTTTTGCTTATGTGGTGCTGAGGAATCGAACCCAGGGCCTCATGCATGCAAGGCAAGCGCTCTACCACTGAGCCATCTTCCCAGCCCCTACAATAGAATTTTCTGAGCTTTATATTAAAATGCTATAATTGAAAAATTTTTCCTCCTCCAAAGGCAGAAGAAGAGAGAAACTACCATATCTTCTATCAGCTCTGTGCTTCAGCAAAATTACCTGAATTTAAAATGCTACGATTAGGTATGATGCCACACGAGACTTATGTTGGTATTATTGCTCTCCATTAATTTGTGAGGTTCCCAAACTTACTTGTTAAATATAGTATTACTTCATGCTGAAATATTTATGAGTGAAGTGATTTCTTTTTAAAGTCTGCAGTTGGCTTATGAATAACTCATAGGCCTGGGGAAGAGGGAGGGGCTCTCTCTATATAGAACAGGGCTGGCCTTAAGGTCATGCTTATTTATGACAAGTGAAGAATATATAGGGTTCATTATTCTAGTCTGAAAAGTTTTGCATACATTTAAAATATTTTGCCTTGAGCAAAATATTTGAAGAAATAGTTCTAACATGTATTGGGAACTAAACTCATAGAAAAGTAATGCCCATATCACCAATTAAGGTATTTATATTTATATTTTATCCCATTATGTAGTTTCGGAGTTTTGTGTTACAGTATAATTGAAAACACAGGAAGTACTCCAGACTGTGCAGCCTGTACACATCACAGTTTCTGACTTTAAGCCTTTCATATCTCCTTCATTGCAGGAGATGCAAATAACTTCCATTACACAAAGCAAGGAGGTAGTCCTGTGATTGAAGGAGTGGATGATGCAAAGGAGATGGCCCACACCAGGCAGGCCTGCACTCTGCTGGGTAATATCCTTTCAGTTTTCGGTGGTACTGGGACTTGAACTCAGGACTTTGTGATTACTCAGTTTGCTTACTCGGCTGGGCATTCTACCACTTGAGCCAACCTCCACTTCCAGCTTTTTGCTGATTAATTAGAGATAAGAGTCTCACAGATTTGTTGGCCCAAGATGGCTTCTAACCTCAATCCTCAGATTGCAGCCTCCTGAGGAGCTAGGATTACACATGTGAGCCCGTGGTGCCCAACTGTCATTTGATTCTTGAGCTCATCTGAGCAATAGCTTTTGTCATAAACAACCTTTGTGTGGAATATGAGTTTGGCTTTATATTAAGTAATGAACATTGCTCAGAGAGTTAACATACCTTACCAGAACACATTCGGACAAAAAGGCACAAGGTTTCCTTTGGGGTGATGGAACTGTTACAATATTAGATTGTGGTAATGGTTGGGTAATTTTTTTTTTTTGTGGGTCCAGTAGTGGGGCCTGAACTCTGGGCCTGGGTGCTGTCCCTCAGCTCTTCAGCTCAAGACTCTCGCTCTACCACTTGAGCCACAGCGCCACTTCTGGCTTTTTTTTCTTTTTGCTTATGTGGTGCTGGGGAATTGAACGCAGGGCCTCATGCATGCAAGGCAAGTGCTCTACTGCCGAGCCACCTTCCCAGCCCCTGGTTGGGTAATTTTTTAATTCTACCAAAGGTCATTGAGCACTTAATGTTGTACTATGCAAATTATCACTCCAGAAAGCTGTTTAAAAATCATACACACAGATCTAAAGTATCAGGGAGAGAACAACATATTTTTTGTTTATTTACACTTTTACAAAAAGCTAAATGAAATGGGTTCCTGTACAAGATCACGTTTTTGGAAGTGTTTGGCTGGTTGGTTTTGGGAGTCTTTTTTTAGCTTGGAAATGTGATTGACCTGGTATGGTGACTGAACATTGTATTATATTATTCCAGTGGTTTGAAATGGCACAGACATTACTGTTTTCTTTCTGGGATTTAAAAGAATGTTTGGTCTTTGTATGAATAAATTCATCTTTACAGCTATAGTTTCTATAACTTCAAAGCTGAATTATTATTTTTTTTAAAGAGCTACCTTAAAATACAAAAACTAAAAAAAATCATGTATTTTTTTTCATTTAAAAGAATCCTTAAATGAGTTAATGTAATTGAAAAATATTGCTAATCCAAGTGTGGTTCAGAACCACTGTAGAGCTTGTTAAAAATGTACACTCTTTTGATCTTCCCAGACCTACTGATTGTAAATCTGTCTTTTAACAAGATCTGTTAATGATTTATGTGCATATTAAAGATCATAAAATGGATAAGGCTAAATTATGAATTATACAAAGCTATAAGAGATAGCAAAAAGCATTCATTATGAGGTCAATTCTCAATTTCCCTGAGTAAGATTACATATTTGGAAATAATTGTACTACTTCTCTTTATTTTTACATTTAATATTCTAGAAATTATTTCCTTTACTGACATATGAAGCCAGATCTAATAATGATCAGCAACTGCCCGACTTTCCCATCCTACTTCATTCAGTCTTCAGGTCCTCTTCCATGCTATATTTGGACACTCATCCATCAGGCCAGACTATAAAACCAGACTGAGCCTTTTAGATCAAAGGATCTCATTGATTTATACTTGGAAGTAATTAAATAATCTAGCTCAAAACAGCTTTATTGGACTACAGCTCACATGTGGAATAGAAATAATAAAAATGGAAAAAAATGAATGAAGTACTTAAATTCAGAGTGTGCCTATAATGTTTTATTTCCTACTTTCCATGGGTACCATAGTATATTAGGTATACTGTTGTCTTACATTGACAAAGAAGTGGCATCTTTAAAGAAGCCACTTATCTCAGAGAACATGGAAGCAGAGACAGGTGTTGCAATCTGCCCTCTGAGGCTCAGGGGCCTATGGTGTTAATTTCTTACCTCTGACTCTGTGCTCACAGCATCTGGCAATATTCTAGAATTAAACTCTTCTGCTATAATTGTTTCATTGTTATCCTGAAATTGATCACTTGCTCATTTATTCTGTTTCAGGGATTAGTGAATCTTATCAAATGGGAATTTTTCGAATACTTGCTGGCATCCTTCACTTAGGCAATGTTGGGTTTACATCTCGAGATTCGGACAGCTGCACAATTCCTGTAAGTTCAGAACAAGCTTAATATGGTGATAGTTAACTAGTGGTTTACTGTTGTTGATTCTCTTCTCTTCATGTATTCATTCATTGATTAGTGTGTGGTATTGGGATTTGAACCCAAGGCCTTGCCTACAATGCTAGGCAAGTGCTCTACTACTAAACTACATCTCCAGCTCCTAGTTCTGTTGGTTCTTTTCTTTTCTTCTTTTTGTTTGTTTGTTTTGGTCATGGGGCCTGTACTCTGAGCCTGGGCACTGTCCCTCAGCTCTTCAGTTCAAAGTTAGTGCCCTATCACTTGAGCTACAGTGCCACTTCTGGCTTTTTCTGTTTATGTGGTGCTAAAGGAATTGAACCCCGGGCCTCATACATGCAAGGCAAGCACTCTACCACTAAGCCACATTCCTAGCCCTCTGTTGGTTCTTTTTAGACACTGTGTACTTGATTTCTTTCTTTTTTTTTTTCCTTTCTTTCTTTCTTTTTTTTGTCAGTTTTGGGGCTTGAATTCTGGGCCTGGGCACTGTCCTTGAGTTCTTCAGCTCAAGGCACTTAAGCCACAGCGCCACTTCCGGTTTTCTGGTGATTAATTGGAGGTAAGGGTCTCATGGACTTTCCTGCCTGGGCTGGCTTTGAACCTCAATCCTCAGATCTCAGCCTCCTGAGTAGCTACGATTACAGGCATGAGCCACCGGCATCCGACTATACTTGAAGTTTTTCTGATATTATCAGAGAAATTCTAATTCCTGCTGCGTGTCCACGTGCATTTACGTTTTCCATCAGCCACTTCCCCAAACCGAACCAATTTGACTCTCCTCTTGTTCATATATGCTGGTTTATATATAAGGGACAGATTCTGGGTGCTGTCCTTTATTTAGCTTTTTCACTCAAGGCTTGTGATTTTTTTTTGGTGGTTAATTAGAGATAAGGGTCTCACAGACTTTCTGGCCTGGGCTGGCTTCAAACCATAACCTCAGATCTCAGCCTCCTGAGTAACTAGAATTAAAAATCAGGCATGAGCCACTGATGCCTGGTTGTTCATATATTTTTTTGTGTATGAGAGTCCCTGGAATGTCATACATGCATGTGTTACTATTTTTTTTGGGGGGGGGTCCGGTCATGGGGCCTGAACTCTGGCCCTGGGCGCTGTCCCTCAGCTCTTCAGCTCAAGGCTAGCGCTCTACCACTTGAGCCACAGTGCCACTTCCAGCTTTTTTTTTTTCTGCTTATGTAGTGCTGAGGAATCGAACCCAGGGCCTCATGCATGCAAGGCAAGCGCTCTACCACTGAGCTACCTTCCCAGCCCATGTGTTATCTTTTTTCAGAACCTTTTATTCTTCTCTGTCCTCTATCCCCCATTGTTCTACAGCTTTCAGTGAGATTTCCCTCTGCCATCTTCATACCTGGATTCAATGGGCTTTATTATTATTCACCTTCCACCCCCTGTCCTCCAAACAGTTCTGTAATTACAATACATTGGAGGGGTGGGAGCAGGCTTAATCGTATGAGGCCCACAAGAGACACTCTTGGGGGAATCTAGGCATGTAAGTTATTTAAAAAGTTGCTCAAATAGCATTATGTCATCTGCTTCAAACTCTTCAGTGCCCTATCATTGCTGTGAGGGTGGGACTAGCCCAAGTGTGGCCTCTGCCTGCCTCTCTTGCTCCCCCCCTCCTGTACATTTTGTCCTTCACTCTGTTTCACTCCTTCCCATGGGTGATCTCCCTCCTCCTCCCTCCTACGATAGTATCTTTGTTCCAGCTGTTCCCGTGTCTTAGAAAATACCCTCCTCCTCCCCCCATTAATTCAGTTGCATCTTATATTCCTTCAGGTCTCAATTCTGCCTCCCACCTCCCTAGAGAGCGCACACTTCACTCAGGCGGGCTCCTTTTTCTTTGTAGCATTTTACATTTTAGGGAGCAATAATTGGATGAATTCCAATGACCCCTAGTTGCAGTAAGCCCTAGATAGAAGAGAATCATGTCTATTTTTGTTCACTGGTACCTCATGTCAACTAGTCAGCTGATTCGCTGATGGACCTGCAGAATGTCCTGTAAGAGGCATACTAACAAATCTAAGAAGAATCAAGGATGATATGTTACAAAATGAGACCTAAAAAAAGAGATTGCAAAATGCTGCTCAGATGCTGGCTTATGGTTAATTATACTATTATCACTCATCAGGATTGAGTAATCTGAACGTTTGTTTTAACAAAGAAATTGCTGAGTTGTCTCTTTTCCCTCTTTGTTACGTCTTTCAGGAAATTCTTACTTGATTGAGCTGGCCATAAGAAATAACCTGTTCTCTTTTGACAGCCCAAGCACGAACCCCTGAGCATCTTCTGTGACCTCATGGGCGTGGATTATGAGGAGATGTCTCACTGGCTCTGCCACCGGAAGCTGGCCACAGCCACCGAGACGTACATCAAGCCCATCTCTAAGCTGCAGGCCACAAATGCCCGCGACGCTTTGGCCAAGCACATCTATGCCAAGCTCTTCAACTGGATTGTAGATCATGTCAATCAGGCACTCCACTCTGCTGTAAAGCAACACTCTTTTATTGGCGTGCTAGACATTTATGGGTGAGGACATTGGCTACTGGTCTTCCAGAGAGTATTGTTGTTTTTTTTTTTCTTTTTTCCACATTTAAAAAATTACCAATTAGTTGTACAAAGGAGTTTCATTAAGACATGTCCAAATATACATACAATGCACTTGGCCCTCCATCACACTTCCTTAACCCCTTCCCTGAGAGCATTTCTCTCCAGAGAGTATTTAGTATCTGAGTATTTGTCTCCTTTTGGTGGGGAGAAGGAAGACCCTTACCTCAATTCAGGAGTACCTTGATGATGGTAATAGAATTGCATGAGACTAAAAAGGAAAAAGAAAAGGAGGAGGAAAAGTTGCTGGGAGCTGGTGGCTCATGCCTGAAATCCCAGCTGTATTACAGACTGAGATCTGAGGATCACAGTTCAAAGCCTGGGCAGAAAAGTCTTGCGAGACTCTTATCTCTAATTAACCAATAAGAAGTTGGAAGTGGAGATATGGCTCAAGTGGTAGAGTGTTAGCCTTGAGAGAAAAAGCCTTGAGTGAAAAAGCCAAATGAGAGCACAAGGCCCTAAGTAAAAGCCCTACTACCAGCATGGTGCCTCAGATTTAACTAAAACAAAAAAGTTTGCTCAACTCCTGAGCTATTTAATTAGGCTCATGGGTGGAATTAATTGGCTGTCAGATTCTTAGGTGGTAAAATAGTGGTAAATTATCACTGAATTTCTAAAATCCTAATTTCATTTGCTGATTTTCCTTTTCTGAATATCCTTCTCTAGCTATTAAAACCCTTTCTGTACATTGAGCATCTCTTTGTTACCTAGTCTTTTATTCTCTGGTTTAGTTTTTTGTAAGAACCCCCTTTTTCCATTCTGTGTGTGTGTGTGTGTGTGTGTGTGTGTGAACCCCCTTTTTCCATTCTGTGTGTGTGTGTGTATGTGTGTACTGCTGTGAGTCTATAAATTGCCTGAGTGATGGCTTTATTGTAATTTTGTGTTCCATACTTGGAGATGAATGAGCCTAAAACACTCTAGGTGGTGAGCACCTTTGCAGGCTAGGGCCTTTAAAAAAAATCTGTCTCTTGACTCATGTTTACCTACTGGTTACCTAGTCAGTTCTTCTGACTTACAAAGCTTTATCTCTATAGATGTATAGAGAAAGTTTTGTAATGTTGGGGAGCTTCTCATTTTTCTTTCTAATGTGCACATTTTGAATATTTTTCTAAAATTGTATTTATTTTGCTGGGTGCTGGTGGCTCATGCCTGTAATCCTTACTACTCAGGAGGCTGAGATATGAGGATCAAGGTTCAAAGCCAGCCTGGGCAGGAAAGCCCGTGAAACATTTTTTTTTTTTTGGTCCAGTTGTGGGGCCTGAACTCTGGGCGTGGGTGCTGTCCCTCAGCTCTTTAGCTCAAAGCTAGCGCTCTACACTTGAGCCACAGCACCACTTCCGGCTTTTTTTTCTTTTTGCTTATGTGGTGCTGAGGAATCGAACCCAGGGCCTCAGGCATGCAAGGCAAGCGCTCTACCACTGAGGCAACTTCCCAGCCCCAGCCCGTGAAACTTTGATATCCAATTAACTACCAAAAAATCCATAAGTGAAGTTGTGGCTCAAGTAGAACAGTAGCCTTGAGCTTGCAAGCACAGGGATAGCCCCTAGACTCTGGGTTCAAGACTCAGTAATGGAGAAAAAAAAGTATTTCTTCTCTTTTCTTCCCATTTTATTTTTGGTATTACAGGTTTGAAACATTTGAGATAAATAGTTTTGAACAGTTTTGCATAAATTATGCAAATGAAAAACTACAGCAACAATTCAACATGGTAAGATTTTTGTTTTCTTCTTTCTTGAATATTGTTCTGCTATAAATCATTTTCTCAAATTCCTAGTGTTTGTTTAAAGCCTGGTTCCTGAAGTAAACTCCTGAATTAAAATTTTCATCAGCGGTTTAGAAAACAATGAAACTGCTCAGATACTAGGGATAAAAAACAAACAAACCCTATGTAGCTTGGGAGCTCGTGGCTCATTCCAGGCTGGGAGGAGAGTACAGGTGATATACTACCCCAGACATAAACAAGAAGTGACTTGGACAAGCAAAGAGAAGGAAAAGAAGCATTGAAACTGCTGGGTGCTGGTGGCTCACACCTATAATCCTCGCTACTCAGGAAGCTGAGATCTAAGGATTATGGTTTGAAGCCATCCAGGGTAGACAAATCTGACAAAGCCTTATATTCAGTCCACTAAGCCTCCGACCTTCACAGACACAAAATTGGGGGTTGGTTAATGTCAGGATGGCAAAAGGTATATAGAAGTAGATTTAACCTCTTATTTCCTTTCCCTTTCCTCCTTGCCTCCCTCCCTCCTTTCCTGCTACCTGCCTGATGACCTCCTTGTTTTCTGATACTGAATAAGCAACCTGTTCACTTTGTCATCAGAGGACTCTGCCATAGTGCACCCTTGTGTGTCCGCACATTTGGTTTATCAGCTGTGGCCAGGAGTTTGGGGTCTTCAAGTAAAGAGCTTGACAACATAGCCTTGCCCCTGAGCTAGGGCTGTAGTTGAGGAAAGTTGGTATCAGAAACCATGTGGTTGGCAGATTTACTGCTTGGAGCTATTTGAACTCATGCCCATGTTTTTTGGCAATGGAACATCCAGAATTTTTGATACATCATGGAGTTTTCCAAACCAGATGCATGTGTATAAGAAATAAGTTCTATTTAAGGTCTAGACTAGTGTTTCTATTGTCAGTCTAAGACATGACATAAATGAATGAAATTTTTCAGAAGATAGAGTTTACTGTTTTGGAAGATACTAGTACCATCCATCAAGGCACCTGCTGACATATAACACCCTTATTTACCTCATTAATCAAAAGGAACAGAAGTTTGCTAATTAGCATGATATAAATATTCATATGGATTTTTCCCCCTTTTAAACTAGGGCTATTAGAGCTGGTTAGGCTCTAGACATTACAGTAAGCAGAGAATAAAGGGAGAATGTTCCAGGTACACTAGGATTGTATGCAGCAGAAATCACCCAAGTTGCATGGGGCCTCAGGTCCTAGAAAAGATGTGTTGTCCGATCATAGTCACAAAAGTCTGTCTTCACAGAAAAATAACCAGATGTGTGACAGACCCAAAGAAGACAAGAAAGAAAGCTGGGCACCGGTGGCTCACGCCTGTAATCCTAGCTATCCAGGAGGCTGAGATCTGAGGATTGCAGGCAAGGAAAGTCCATGACACTCTTATCTCCAAGTAACTACCAGGAAACCAGAAGTGGCTCTGTGGGCTCAAGTAGTAGAGCGCTAGCCTTGAGCTGAAGAGCTGAGGGACAGCGCCCAGGCCCAGAGTTCAAGCCCCACGACTGAAAAAAAAAAAAAAAAAAAAAAGGAAGAAGAAGACAAGAAAGATAAGGAAAGGAAAAGAGAAACCCTCTAAGCACAAGCAGTGTCTTTAGCATCTGTGGACCAGAGGTTGGAATGTTGGCTGCCGGGGCTGAGGTAGAGCAGCCTGAGCATGAGCCATGGCTGGATTGCTCTTCCCATCTGGACCAGCTCAGCTCCTGTTCATCTTCAGAACTTGGATCCCGAGCCTTTCCTTCCCACCCTAATCACTCTGTGTTGAGACTAGGCGAGGGCTCTTACTCTCCCAGCCTATCATGCTTCCCTTTATAATCCAGTCCCATTTATGACTTTGTCTGCTTTGTTTATGGTTTCCAAAGGGCACTGTCTATATATATATATAAAATTTAATGAATAACTGGTGATGAGAGTGGCAATGTGGATGATGGTTGAAGTCTTTGGCAGAAATAAGCAATGGATTGGTAGTGCTTATAACTTTCTGAAGTGTGGGATGTAGAATTCAGAAAAATGAGTCCTAGATTCCCTGACTGAGGAGAATAAGAAAAACAGGTGTTATATAATTCAGAGGCACGTGGACTTCAGCACCACAGTCCCTTGGGAGAATTTGTTATTCTGCAAGTTTTGCCCAGGCTGTTGAGTAATCTGGAGGCCGTCCATTGTACATAGTTGATTTGTGCCAACCAAAGGCATTCCTGTGTCCCATGTCAAATTGCTTAAAAAAGCAGAAGTACGTAGTGCAGTTTGGAAATAGGCATAATCAAATCACTAAGATAACTACATTTATCTGGCTCATTGAAGTGGTACATTCCTGTAATCCCAGAATTTGGGAAGGATTGTAAGTCTGATCTACATAGTGAATTCCAGGCCAGCTTGGGCTACATATTGAGACCCTGTCTCTAGATAATATATATATATATATATATATATATATATATTATTATTATTATTTTTTTTGTTTTGGTTGGTTGTGGGGCTTGAACTCTGGGTCTGGGCACTGTCCTGTGCTCTTCAGCTCAAGGCTAGCACTCTACCACTTTGAGCCACAGTGCCACTTCCAGTTTTCTGGTGGTTAATTGGAGATAAGAGTCTCATGGACTTTCCTGCATCGGCTGGCTTTGAACCGAGATCCTCAGATCTCAGCCTCCTGAATAGCTAGGATTACAGGCGTGAGCCACCGGCGCCCAGCTCTGTTTGTAGTTTTTATTTGCTCTTTCTATGTATCAAATATACTCCTCCAACAAGAGTTGTTGCTATATGAGTTTCTCTTCAATTATATTAATATCTTAGCATTTTTATGAAAATGTGTTTCTCGACTCCATTCTTTCTGACCAGAAATGGATCATTTGGTCCAATAATGCCTACTTTTATTTTCTTTGTTTTCCAGCATGTCTTCAAACTGGAACAAGAAGAATATATGAAAGAACAAATCCCGTGGACACTTATAGATTTTTATGATAATCAGCCTTGTATTAATCTAATAGAATCTAAGCTGGGTATTCTAGACTTGCTGGATGAGGAATGCAAGGTGAGATGGCTTTCTAGAGTACCTGGAGCATCAAGAGAGAGAGCCAAGGTCAGAAGGTAGTGGGTTCAAGCAGAGTTGTTAGTTTACCATGATATGTACAATGACGTGCCACATGAAGTGCCATTGTGGCAACCTCTGACCATCATCCTTTCATTCTGAAAGGTCACTATACCCCTCAAGGATTCTAGTAATAAGCCATACTGGGACAATTTCTCTTCTTGTTTCAGATAATTATCAATTTTGTAATAATTGATTTGAGATATGTGCTTGCTACCACTTTTTAAAAAATATGTTGGTTTTTAGTTTGCTTATATTTAATACATTTTTTAGGGGCAGAGTGTAGTGAAGAAATGGAAGACAATTGGGCACTAGTGGCTCATGCCTGTAATCTCAGCTGCTGAAGAGGTTGAGATCTGAGGACCATGGCTCAAAGCCAGCCCAGGCAGGAAAGTCTTTGAGACACTTTATCTTCCAGTAACCAGCAAAAAGCTAGAAGTAGATTTGTACTTCAAGTGGCAGAGCACTAGCCTTGAGCAAAAAAGCTTAAAAACCAGAATCCAAGCCCTCAGTCCAAGCCACAGTACGGTACAGACAGACAAATAGAGAAACGAATGGCAGAGACACAGAGAAACAGATGGACAGACAGACAGACAGACAGAATTAGCAAACTATTAAGTAAAGGCCAAAAAATGCTCTCTTGGCAGCCAATGAAGAAAAAGGGTCTCCGTGTTCAGTATTTTCTTCTTTCCTTCTTTTTCCTCTCCATGTAGATGCCCAAAGGTACAGATGACACTTGGGCCCAGAAATTGTATAACACACACTTGAACAAATGTGCCCTCTTTGAAAAGCCCCGTTTGTCAAACAAAGCTTTCATCATCCAACATTTTGCTGACAAAGTAAGGAAACTGTATCTATTTTCTTTCGTAATACTTAAGTGGGGAGAAAATTTAATAGTGAAGAAATATTTTTCCTTACTCATACTTGATTTTTTTAAAGTCTTGTAGAAAATCAATTGTTTTCTTTCTTTAACCTAAGCTAAGTTATATGCCTCATAAATGTGAGATTACAATCTCTTGTCTGCAATTTTGAAATCTAGAAAATTCTGAAAACTGTCTTTCCATAGCTTACTTAGCAGCTCAACTAGATTTCTGACCTGAAATGAACATGAAAGTATCTATTGTCTTTATTCCAGTTAAGGTGGATATTTACAAGTATCCATGAAGAAATATTATTATATTATACATAGATATTATATATAATATAGACCAATGCCTTAGACTATTCTGGGGGTATTAAAATGTTATGGGTACATATTGCATCTCTAAATGTGTGAAGAATTCTGAGTTCCAAAGCATAGCTAGTCCTTTGGGTTTCAGGATAGAGATAATAGATCTATGATACCTTCTGTGATCTATTCATTATGTCTCTACTAGCAAGGCATGGTGACATACTGCCTTACAAATTTTACAGTTTACTTAGCAAATCAGATGATGAAATTATATATATACACAAAAACTGTGTGTGTGTGTGTGTGTGTGTGTGTGTGTGTGTGTGTGTGTGTGTGTGTGTGTGTGTGTGTG